TCTTTGTCTGCATTTAGAGACACAGAGGGTTAGAGAGAGAAGGGACCTCCACTACTGTTTCTTTGTAGAGATGAGAAACAAAACTGGGAGAACCTAAGGCGCTTGTGTTGCACATGCCTCTTCTAAAACTCACCTTCCAGGCTGCTGTGTCCCTATTAACCAGAGACCTTCCTTGGATGGAGCCCTTTCTAGCCTGAGTAGTGGTCAGCTTTGTGTCCCTGCTCTGCAACCTATAGAATGGTCCCTTCTAGGCAGATAGAAAAACTCTCAGAAGGACATAACAATATAAGTAACTGAAGTAATGCTTCAACTCCATGAATACTAAAAAAATATCCTTAAGCCTAAAAACGCAATGGCACTGAGAACACTGAGTCCTTTTGAGCATGGGCACTGGGAGATAGTCCCTCTAAGCAAGGTTTTCCTTTCCTAGCAGGGGAGACACACAGAAGTAATTGTCAGGGAATGAAAGGGGTGGTTATTTAGGCGTAGCCATGATGGCATTATAATCCAGGACACTAGACAGACACCATGTTTGACAGGATGGGTGGCTCTTTAGAAGGAGGACTGATCCTTCAATAAATAGACTATAAATAAATAGTTTTTAAAGAAAACACTGTTTGGGCAAGTGGACAGGTGTGGTGCACAATAACCTGGAAGTCTGGCACTTGTCCGGATTCTTCTTCCCCACCCCACTTCCCAAGTCTAATTCATTGTCAAGTCCTGTGACTCCTCTTTACAGAAATCTGTCACATCCATATCCATATCCAAAGCTTTCATCTGCATAGTTTGTTTGTTTTAATCATTCTTTTCAAGAATCTGACAGTAGCTGTTAAGTGATTGCCCTGCCTCTTGCTCGCCCTCTCCTGTGCACCTCCCACAGGACCTGTAGGAAGATTTTGCTGAACCACAAATGTGATGGTACCATGTCCCCTTAGCAACTCCCTTAGGACCTGGCCTACCTCCCCTGCCCTAGCGTGCCCCACTCCCTGTGCTGTCCTCCCTGCCTTTCCCTTTGCCTGGAGTGTGCTTCTCCCTCTACCCATTGAGTGAACTCCTGGTGGGAGGCTCAGACCACATGTCCTTTCCCCTGACAAGTCTTCCCCAGCCTTCTCCTCATATCCATCCAGCAGAGTCGAATCTGCCCTTCTTAGCCTGGAATGTCTGTCACCTGTATCACAGTACTTTGTACACTGGGTTTCTGGGTCACATGCCACCTCCATATCCAGACTAAGTGCCTGGAAAATGGAGATCATGTTTAGTTCATCTCTGCTAAGCTCAGTACCCTGGATAGTACTTATTCAACAGTGGAAGTTGAATAAGTGTTTGTTGATTGGCTGGTTATAGAGACAGAAATGCAAAGTTAAAGACTCAATTCCACTGGCAGCAAAGTGCTGGGAGAGTGGCATACCTTGTGTCATTTATAAATGTAAGCTCACAGTGTGTTCTGGCTGCAGTCCTGACCCAGGACAACTTGTCATGGAGGCCTTCTCTTCTTATTCTCAGTTCCTATCCTCTGGTCTTCCCCATCTGAGAAATAGTATTGGCCTGGCTGTGAAATGAACAGCTGCTTCTGTGTACAGTCTCTCCTGACTGCCCATTACCCGATGAATAAACTACCTGTTTCTGTACACTTTAGTAAAGGTAGCTACAGGTATCTTTGAAAGGCCTTACCCAAACTTCCCAGCTATTTCTGTGACTCGGAATCCCCAGTGTCAGTTCTGTTTCTGTGGGCCCTTCACTGTTACTCAGTAAGATTACTTCATCCACCTCAGACCCGGGTTTTCTGAAGTCAGATGTATGTTTCTCCTAATACACCACCTGTTACTCTTCCAGGCTGGTGTGTTTCCTCCTCCACCACTCTGCTTACACCCGAACTACAGAGCCGTAGTCTTCAGACAGTGCTTTCTCCACTCCAGGATTTGTTCCTTCATCAAACTGCTAGATGATGGGATACATCATTGTTCCCAAAGGGACCTGAGTCTAGGTACAAAAACATATTTGTAACTGAATCATTGTAAGATGGAGACAGATTGCTATGGAAACACAAAGGGGAACTTTAAAATGAGTCGAGGAAGCCTTCCAGGAGGAGGTGACATTTCAGCTAGGTCTGGAAAAGTAAGTGGGTCCTCAAGGAAGAGAACATTCTAGGCAGAGAAAACAGCAGATGTAAAGGCCAAGGGTTTGAAACCATAGGGCAGGCCTAAGAAGTTGAGGATTGGTGTGGCTTAAGCTGCTGGATGCTTTTAAGACATGAGGAAGGAGTCCCCTCTGTCCAAGGGATTTTCTTCTGAGATGAAGCAGGGTGGGAACTGCAAGTGCCCTCCTATAGCTGCTTCCAAGGCCTGCTCAGCCCCCCAGGTGCTCCCATGGCCCAGCGAGGGGCCCAGGACTGCCACCACTCCTACCACTCCCGCCCACCTAGGCATGGGGTCCCAGAAAGAAAGGCAGGGGAGGAGGCAGATAAGAAAGACAGCTTCTGTTTAGACACAAATATCTTCGTAATCAGCACAGATGGGATGAGAAATACCAAAAAAAGTACATGACAGTTTAGAGAGAATTTGGCTAAATGTTACATATTTTTAACATACCTGTATAGAGTTTTTGGAACAAGCACCTAAATCTCAGGGAACATGATTATTGGACCTGGGGGTTATACCTCAACTGAGTGGTGTTTTTTGTTTCATAGATGTTCCCTCCTTCCCCATCCACAAAAGTATCCTTGTGATTTTTTTTTCTCCCACCAAAATAAGGCACAGGATTTGTCTCTGACGCTGTGTCTCCTTATTTGGACGGCAAGCTGTGTAACATATTTCTACCCAGCGTGAAGCTTCTTGGCAGACTCTTGAGGCCACGTTTTGGTGGCTTCAGAGTTATCTTTGGATCTGTCAAAAGTGCTAATGGGCTTTCTGGCCTTCTTTAAGCTCCTCATTTCTATTTTCTTTTTACTTTCATCCTCTCCTAAAAGAAAAATTCATGTAATTCATCAGCAGTTAAAGCATTTTACTGAAATGCTCAGCTGAGGGCCTTGTATTTTTGTTTGTGAGAGGAGCTCTGCCATGTCACTGTCTTCCAAACAGACCCCACCCTGACATCATTAACTCAGCACTCCTCAGTCCACTGGGCAACAGATAAGCTTGTTAACGAATGCAGACTGCTTTTCTTTTTTGTTTTGTTTTGCTTTCCAAGTTTGTTAAGAGCAAGTGGTTAAAGCAAGTTTTGGGTTCAGGAGACCTGATTTTGAAACATGGCTCTTTTCAGCTGGGTGACCTCTGGAAGACTACTTAACCTTCCCGAACCTCAGTTTTTCCATCTGTGAAATAGAGATGATAATGCCTTTCTCAGAGTTTTTGAGATTAGAGAGAAAAGAGGTAAAGTGCCTATTGTCTGGCACATAAGGGTAACTCAGTAAAGAGGATAACAGTAATTTTTAACAGAACATTTTTCTTTCTTTAGGCATGCTTTGATCCTTCTTTGTTGCTATGCTGTGCTTTCTTTTTCCAAATACAACTTTACCTATTATTTTAGTGGTGCAAAGGAAGAGCACGGGTTTAAAGACAAACCCACCCACGACTGAATGATGCCTCATCCACCCACTATCAAACCATGGTCAGATTCTTCACTTTCTCTGAGTCTCCTTTATCCTCTGTATGCAGAGATAATAATAGTACCTGTTCAAGGAATGGTTTCAAGATTAAGTAAAGTAACACATGTAAAGCTTTGTATTTTGTGGATGTTTAAAGTACTTAAGTGGTGCAGTGTGATATAAGGGAAAGTGTGTGGGCTATGGAGTTGGATCTGAGTCCAAATTCTGATCCACCAGATACTGGATTTCTCCCAGACTGACTTTATCTATATATTGGAAAGAGTAATACCTGGCTGGGTTTCTGGTAATATCACATGAGATTATACATACACAGTACCTGGTACAGTACTTGATAGTTGGTAGGTAGTCAGTGTATAGAGCTGTTAATTCACTCTTTATTTGTAAAGGTCGACAGTTAATCAGGTTCTCCCATCAAACAATAATAAATTGTAAGATAAGTGCCTCATTTTATTTCCAACCCATACATAATATTGTCAAAAAGTACTTGATGCTATTTTGCATGTAAAATCCACCTGGTTTACTTGAATTTATGGGTTATAGATGTTTCATTATTATAAATTGCAACCCCTAGCAATACTGTTCTTTCCCCACCCCCTTCATTTTCAGAGGATTATATTGTGTGGCATTGAAAAGCTGTAACATTGAAGAAATTAGCATATTCATGTGTATTATTAAAGTCAGGTGGGTATAGAAAGGGTTGCAGAAATGAAACACATTACATTTCTTCTGAAATCTGAAGAGTACCAATCTACAGTACTAATTAAAGGAATGAAGCCCAGGCCACAGACAAAAGCTAGTTAAAACACTGCTTTGTCACAACTTGCTGCTACTTGCCTTTGATTTTTTTTTCTTTTTGAGTGAACTACCTGAAATTGTAAATTTCAAAATGTAAACTGTGGAGGAGGGGACACCGGCAGTGGTGACAGGAGGGGAGCTCGCTGCCCTCTGTGGGTAGTAGGGTCTGTTGGGCAGAACCGGGCTCTGTGCCAGGAGTGTCTCGGTCCCTGGGTGCTTTCTTTTGCTTAGACGTGTGGCACAGGCCCTGGGGTCAGAAGGTCTGAGCTGCAGTCTGCCTTCATGGCTTATCAGACTTTCTGGTCTTGGCGTATCTCTCTGAGCCTCGGTTCCCCTCATTTGTAAGGTTGTAGACTTCCTGTCTTGTTTACTTCCAGGACCTTCTGTGAAAAGCAGCACAGTGCTCTCTGTATGACCTCATGTGGTAAACGGTAATCACCACGCAGGTGTAATTGCTGTAAACTGCCTCATCTCCGAGGTCTCTTCCAAAGAGGAGAGTATACTTTCTGATTATTTTCTGTTTCTCATGCTTTTATTAGATACTGCTCATAATAAGAACCAACAAAATAAGGCACAAACCTCCCCTTCTTCTTTCTCCTAGAGAAATCTGACAGAATATTTTGTGGCTGTGGATGTGAACAACATGTTACATCTGTACGCCAGTATGCTCTACGAACGCCGGATACTCATCATTTGCAGCAAACTCAGCACTGTGAGTAGGCAGCCTTGAGATGGCTTTTTAATGATTTTATTTCAATTAAAGGCTGCATTGGAAAGATGAAAGAAAATTTTAGAAAAAGAAATCAGCCACAATCTCCCGAGATAGTAACATGTCATTTTCATTAATTATTCATATTCTTTTACAGTGCCAATGCACATTTCATTTATTTTCACAGTTTCACAGTCAGTTTAGGTTTTCTATTTGATCCTGTGTTATGAACACTTTGCATATTTCCACATAAGCTTCCATCTTTTTCATTTTTACATGTCTGTATTATATTCCATTATACTGATGTGTTTAATTTACTAATTTACTAAATTATACTAACTTATTAAATCTTCCTTCTTTTGATGGCCATTTAAGTTGTTCTTAGCTTAATTCTTTAGTAGATAACACTGTAGTGAACATCTTTTGGCTGCTTTTGACTACTCCTGGGTGGAATTGTATGTGTGGGTACACATGTACACCCCCCCCACACACTTCTTGGTCATGTATAGTTGGATACATGTAAAAGCATACTCATAGCTGCATTTGTGTTTTGTGTTTTAAACCTGTAAAGAACCCACATGATCATCCACAGAGAACTAATGCATTTTGGTATAGTCATATAATAGAATATTGTATCAGTGCAACTGAACACTATCAGTATGATTGGGTCTCTAATACAGAATTCTGAGTAAAAGAAACAAGCTATAGAAGACCATACAATTTGATTATATGATTTCATTCATATAAAATTCAGGTAAGAAAAACTAAGTGGTACATTATTTAGGGACACAAATTAATTACAAGCAGGGCAAAAAAGATATGATTAACACAAATTGTAGGTAGTAGCCTCCTCAGAAAGAGTGAAAAGAGTATAGTTGGGAAAGGCATACAGGGGACATCAAAAGTATTACTTTTTTGTCTTCAGCTAGGTGAGGGATCAGGAAACATTTCTGTAAAGGGTCTAATAGTAAATATGGCTCTGTACGCCAGATGGCCTCTGCTGCAACTGCTAGACTCTGACCGTGTAGGTTATAATCAGTAAGCTAGTGGCTATGGCTGTTGTTCCAGCAAAGCTTTACTTTCAGAAGTAGGTGTCAGGCTGTAGCTGACCTTTAGGCTGTAGTTTGTCAACCATCGAGTTAGGTGCTGGGTTTCAGGGTCTCAAATTTTTTTCCCTTTGAAAGTTGTTTATATGGTATACATACTTTTGTATGTACATGCACACATATTTCAGAATTTTTGAAAAGTTAAAAAGAAGATACTAAGCTATTTGTTGTGAAATTTTACAATACAAGTTTAGAGACAAAGTAATCCTTGTACAAAGGCTAAGAATCAAAATCACACATTTTGCTGTGACAATTTAGAAACCAAAAAACAAGTCAAGTGTGTCTTGAACGTCTAAAGGAAAATGATTTCAAATGTGAAATTTCTATACTTATCTAATGGAAGCCCTCAGAGGAGAGTGGCAGGAGCCTATGCCACACCTATGCACGCCCTGCATCCCCTCTTCCGTGCCACCTTCTCCACTGTGCATGAACTGTCCTCTCTAGAGCCACCCACACTGCTGTCCACCTGACTTCATGCAATGAGTATTTGTCATGGCACTGTTGTAGACACTGAGGATATAACAGTAGATAAAATAGGCAAAAATCTCTGTCCTTATTAAGCTTACATTCTACTAGGGAAGACCTTGAATGAACAAGGTAAGTTAAATATATAATATTTATAGTAGTATTTCCAGTAGCCTAATGGTAAGAACTAGGAGTAAAATAAAGCAGAGTGTGAGAGTGGATGGGGAACAGTGAGATGGCAGGAATCTCGATTTTAGATAGATGGCCAAGGAGGGCCTTGTTGAGATGGCGACACTGAAGTGTCCTGCTTGCTACCTTAAGGAATCCTTCCAGCAGTGAGTTCCTGTTTCCTGCATCATTATGGTTTCTTTAGTGGTGCATTCATATGAGCTTGCTAAAAGGTATAGTGTCTCCCAAACTGAACAAAACAAAACTTCCTAGACCTACATCTCCTTTACACCATTCTTGCATTCCCTTTTAGGGTAGACTTCCTTAAAAGACTTACCTCTATTTACTATCTCTCTCTTTCCCATTCTGTCCTCAGTGTTCTCTGGATTTAGCCCCCACCTCTCCACTGAGACAGGTTTTGTTCGGATCACTGATGACCTCACGTCAAGTAAAATTAAAATGAATTAATACCTGCAAAGCTGTTAGAGTCTGGCATATAGTGTACATGTGTTTATAATAATACCTATAATAGGGAGTCATGTGTTTAAAATTTAAAATAAAAAATTAATTACTTGGCCCTGACTGGTGTGGCTCAGTTGGCTGGGCATCATCCTGCAAAGCGAATGGTCTCTGGTTCAACTCCTGGTTAGGGCTCGTGCCTGGGTGGTGGGCTTGGTCCCCAGTCAGAGTATGAGAAGCCGATTGATGTTTCTCTCTCTGTCTCTCTCTGTCTCCCTCCCTCCCTCTCTCCCTCCTTCCCTCCCGTCTTTCCTTCCTCTCTAAAAATAAATAAATAAAAATCTTTTTTAAAAAAGAAATAGTTACTTAGAAATAAGAAGATAAATACTGTGTGTTATCACTGTGAATGAAGGGTGGGGGCATCATGAGATGGACTGCTGCTTTTCAGTATGAGTATTTCATGCTTTTGTTTTGAGTTTAAGGCTATAAACATGTATTAGTTTGACTTAAAAAAAAAAGAAAAAGAAGCTCTTTTTAAACCAACAGTTGATTCTTAACTGGGTTCTGAAGTTCACTGATGGATGCTGGAAACCTCTTAGGGGGAAGGGGTTCTCCTTCGCTCTCACGTGCAGTCACCGGGATCCTGACCAGTTATGTGCAGTTTCTCTGGGGACAAAGTAGCTGAGTAGACATCAGTTTAAGCCAAGCCTTTGGGCCTTTTCAGTTTCAGAATTTAAAAGTTTTATAATTGTTGCCCTTTATTTCCTCAGTAGTGGAAAAAGCCTCACTAGTGGCTTTTTATTATCTTTTTGATGAGAGGCAGAGTAAAAGGCTGTTCTGGCCTGAGATTTCTGATGACCGTCTCTTGACGAATCGAGATGTGGCCTGTCATACCTCGACAAACCATGCTTTTCTTACTTTTTTTAAAGATGGAAGCTTAATGCTTCCATTAAGCAGCTGAAAGATCAAAGCCGTTGAACACTCTAGAATGCTGTCTTCTGTGAGAATGACTGCTTCAATAGAAACAAACCCAGCAATGTTTGGTTCAGAGTCAGGTGATACTTATTTCGGGCTTTCTCGGTCAATAATGTGATAATTCTGTATAAGAAAAATGTAAGGTTTTGTTTTCTTTGCTCAGTTAATGTATATTGATTGTTTTCCTTTATAAATGATAAATAGGGAAGGCTTACTAAATCTTGTTCTCTAATGTAAATACTTCACTCTGATTTCTTCTAGCACAGAGGCCCCATTTTTCTTCTAGATTATCATAACTTGAGTTTAATTCATATTGTTTTTTGATAACTCTTATGGGTAGCAGATAGGTCTAAAACAAGACCTTTACAGAGATGTATAGAGATGATATGTGATTCCAACAGCAATCCTAGAAGATCAATAATATTCCCATTTTACAGAATGGCCTATCAAAGAGATGAAGGAGTAACTTGCCCAAGGTCATATCCTAGGTGAGAGTGGGAGACATACAAATAGGTCATCATGATGCAGTGTCAGGGAAGGGGAGGCTTTGGCTTCAGACAAGGGAGAGACATCCAGGAATTACACATATAAAGGAATCTTAGCCCCTTCAAAGTGCTCGCCTAGGGAACCAGGTCATGTTTATTGGGTGCCACCTTTCAAACTACTGTCGGAATCCTTGTGTGTGGATTGTCACAAGGGCCAGAGACACATTGTTAAGAATGTCTATTCCACTGAGAAAATTTGAGAATCCTCATAAAGAGCTGAAAAGATAGTCTGAGCCAATGTGATGGATAGGGATGCTCATTTGGGTAAAGGTAAGTCCTGACTGTATAGTTAGTACAGGACTTTCTTGGGTAGTTTGTAAATATTTAGTTCTAAGACTATCAAAGAGGTATGCTGGCAGCATCCACAGACTAAGCGTGTAGAACATGTTTGTTTAGATGTATACTCTATTTATAAGGGAAGTGCCTAGTATTCCCATACACCCCTTTAAAATTCTTTTAAGAGAACCATTTTGAGCCACCTACTATGTGCCAGCACTGTGCTAACCACATTTTTTTTCCATTAGCTCTTTCAGCAATGCTAGGAGGTAGTTAGCTTTATTGACTTTTGTAGACCAGAATATTGGCACTTGGAAAGTTGAAGTGCCTTGTCTAAGGTGACCAGCATAGATAGAATTAAAACTCACTTCACCTGGCTCTAAGCCAAGCTCCTTCTTACTACCTCATGCTGCCTCCTTGGTAACTCTCCATTTGTCATATGTTCCCTTTAACACTTATCCCCAAAGAAAAATTCTTGGTATGATTCTGATGACCCTGGATCTGAAATCAGAGAAAGAATGTCAGCCTGGCCATTGCCTTTGAATGCACATCTAAGCTTTTTTCAGATTTAGTGAGCACTTTGTACGTGCCTGGCTCTACTGTTGGTGCCAGGGAAACAGAAGGCCAATGTGTGAATTTCTGATGGACACATTTACTCTGTTAGCCAGAAGCCTCTTTCCTTGAGCATTGTTTAGATCCAGCTCTCTCTCTCTCTCTGTGGTGTTGGCCTCCACTGTCTCCCTGCCCCACCTGTGTCGGTCCCCTGCAGTGAGCACAGCCTGGGTGGGTCCCTGAGGCCTATCTTCCCTACTCAGTGTGGCTGCAGGGTTCACGTACCAGTTCCCATCAGCCCCTGTGTATCTTGGCCCTAATTGCCCTTTCCATTATTTAGGGGTACCACAAAAACTTTTGAAAACTGAGAATATCCTAAAGGAACATATATTTGTTTTATTTGGCAGATGCTTTTTAAAACAGGAAAGAAGCCCAGTTTAGTGGTAAGGCCGTTACA